TTTTAAGACTTTAATCTTCTTATAGAAGCCAATCAGGTCGTTTTATCGACCGGCCTGCAGCCAATCAGGTCGTTTTATCGAGCCAATCAGAGCTGACCTTCTGTCTTCCTGCAGGTCCGGTTTCTCCAGAGTCCAGACCGCCAGAAGGAGGAAAAGAACTGGCCAAACTCAGGTCAGCGACTCTCAGAACCACATGAAGGTAAACACGGCTCGGTTCTTCTCAAACTGGATCTTAGACCAAATTTAAAATATTTTCAGGGATTGTAAACAATCTTAAGCCAAGAACTAGTAAGAGTTCAGTTGCTTTGATTTGACTCGATTTATTTTGTTTTCATAAAAACGATTCAGTTTAAAAGTTTAGAAAGTTTTGGAAATGAATCGTTTTGAATCTGTTAGAAATGAATGATTCACTTTTTCAGTGGAATCAGCCCAACATTTGTATCTGTGCTTAAACACACACACAAATGTAATAAATTACACATTATTGTGATAACTCTGCACTACGTCTGTGTTTTAAAAATAGAAACATTGTAAGTAAATTCGGGTCGGTACCGGCCGATATTCGGCCTCAGGAATCTGTTCTGTGTTCTGAGAAACGATCATTCCTCCAGTTTGTCATTTTTGACTTTGTCTGTTTCAGAAAAAACGCAGGTAAAGATTGAGGTTGGTCAACATGTCCCCTCCGAGTCTGCAGCTCCCGACCCGGTGGTTCTGAAGAGCCATGAAACCGGGTTCCAGACGAGGTGAACATTCATTAGAACCGCAGAAAGCCCGGATGGTTCCAGATCCCTTCGCTGCTGAAACACAAACATGTTCTCCGCTTGCAGCTTTGTTGGCGCCGTCAAACGGGTCCGCCAGCTCAGCGGACCAGAACCAGGAAGCCCATCAGGTCACCATGGAATCCCAGATGTGCTGGGTGCTGCTAGAGACGAAGCAACGTTCTGGGTCCGGGTCTCGTCTGTTCATTTGAATTCGATCTGTTTCAGAAAGTGGTGAAGGTGGAGGTGAAGCAGGAAGAAGGTTCTGTGGCTCAGCTCACTCTGGATCCTGATCCGACCGACGACGACAAATCTGGACTGCAAAGCAGGTAACCTGGAGGATTCAGACACAACCCGTTTATAATCAAACTACCGGCTGAGAACGTTAGAGATGCTAACCAAAACAGCAAAGTAAATTTAATCTCTACAATTTATCCAGAAACATTCATGCACGGGAAGCTAAGTGCGCTAAAAGTTTTCAAAGTTAACAAAAAGTTGAAGCGCTAAGCTAAGCGTTAGCTCCGTTCGTAGCGCAGTAGCAAACTCCAGTTTGGCGAGAAGGTCTGGTTTGAGATGTGAACGCCAAGTGGACCCGAGACCACTAAAAGAGCAGGAAGTGGACTACATCGCAGTGCATTCTGGGTAAACGCAACCAAACAGAGATGACTCAGAAAATAGAAATCTGACTCCATTTTTGTTTACATTTGTGAAGGAAGTTGTGTTCGGCTCGGTGCAGCGCCCCCACAGGCGAGGAGGGAACAAGTTGCTCAAAGTGTTTGGTTGTTTAACTCAGAGCAGAGAAAAAACCACAGCAGCCAGAGATGGAAACAAATGCTGCTACTTTGGTTCCCAATGGAAACTGAAACTATCGGGTGTGAAACATCCGTAGAAACGGGAGGAAGAGTTTATGGTGAATTCTGACCCAAATGCCAGAAGAGTTCAATCAGAACCACAGAGATATCTAGAGAAGAGTGGCAAAAGTAAATGAGGTGGATTATCAGAGCTTCCCAACAACTGCAGCATCTACAAGATAATTTAAATGTTTCCCTTGTCTGCAGCTCTCCTGAAGGCGAGTCGGATCCCGGAGGAGACGGCCTGTCCGTCAGCTCTACGTCTGAACTCGACCTGGAATCGGACGATGACTCCAGCGACTCCAGCAGCGACACGGACGAGTCTTTAGATGAATCTGTCGACAGTAATCAGGACGTTGAGCCAAAGACACAGAGGAAAACCGACAAGCTGACGTGCAGAGTGTGTGGGAGTTGGTACAGGCAGCTGGGGAGTCTGATCAGCCACATCTGGAATCACGTCAACGAGCCTCATGGCGTCTGCGGCGTCTGCGGAGAGAAGTTTGAGTCTGTGGAAGCGTTAAAGCAACACCTCCCAAGTCACAAAAAGGGCTACAGCTGCTGGATCTGTGGGAAGTACCTGCTCTCCAGCGTCACCCTCAACCGCCACATCGCCAAGCATGCCACAGACGCTCCCATTAATCTGGCGGCGGAGACTCCGATCAAATGCAACGTTTGCAGCAAGACCTTCTCCACCGTGCCGGCCTTGAACGGGCACAGCCGGGTCCACTTGGAAAAACGACCGCCGGGTGCCATCTTTGTCCAAAATCGTTTGATCTGAAGTCGGATCTCGTAACCCAGAGAAAGCGCCCTGGCGGCGTCTACGGCAACGCCTCGACGGGAAGCCTGGGCTTCTCCTGCAGCCTCTGTGGGAAGACCTTCGCGCTGGAATCCTCCCTGAAGACGCATGAGAAAACCCACGCAACGAGCGACTGCCCGTTCACCTGCCAAGTCTGCCACAAGACTTTCCAAACCTACCAGAACCTGACGAACCACAAGAAGACTCACGGCACAGTCGGCTCCTTCCTCTGCAGCCTGTGCAACATGAGCTTCCTGTCGAAGACACGCTGAAGGTCCACATGATCGTCCACGCCAAGACGCCGTACAAGTGCTCACGGTGCGGGCGCTGCTTCAAACGGCTGGCCTACCTGGTCAACCACATCAAGACGCATTCAGCCTTCCAGCAGTGTGTCTGCACCATCTGTGGCCAGGTGAGTCACGGACTGGAGGCCCTGGAGGACCACATGAGGATCCACACCGGGGAGATCCCCGTAGAACAGAACCTCCACCTGGACCCGTGGTATGAGAACACGCCAGAGGAACCGCAGGGAAGTTCACTGATGTCTGGAGGTCAAGAGAGACACAGCATGGTTTAAACCATCATCCTGCGCCGTCTGCGGGAAAACCTGGAAACCTGACCGGAGAAGATCTGTGACATGAAAAGAGAAACGGCCGGGATGTTCACTGCTGGAGAGAATATTTTACAATTAGTGTTAGAATCCTGGTGAACACGCCGAACTAAAAGTACCGAACCTCAGCGACCCGCTCGCTGGAAACGAGATGTTCTGGTGTGGTCCAGAACCAGTGGAATGAGTTTCATCTTTAATCAGTTCCAGTTCTACCTCCAATGTTTGCTGGACGGGCGTTTATCGTTTTGTTTTTCATACAGTGAAAAAGTTCTGGTGATAAGAAATTGGATTTGACGTGTCGATAAAACGTCTAAAACTGCATTTTAAAAATAGTTTTCTATATTTTCACTGTTTTCTTGGGAGCATCGATACCTTTAAATAAATGAGAAAAAAGACGAATTGTTGTTTCTGTGTCCCAATGAAGCCTGTTCAGATTGGATGATTTATTGGCTGTTTGCGTTTGTGGGGTTGTGATTGGACAACGACTCTGCCTTCATCACCCAGGTGTGGTCCTCCTCATCCTCAGTCCCCCAGCTCATTTCTGCATTGCTTTCTATTTAAATGAACTGGTTAAAACCTACGGAGGGCCAGAGCTGACATGAAATGAATCTTAAAACGATTAAAAACATGATTGAATTTACCACAAACATCTAATTAAAAACGTTGTCTGGGGTTATAAAAACACACTGGAGCCATAAAATAGATGCACAGTGAAATAAATATATTTCACATCAAATTGTCTTTAAAATAATATTTAGAAAAAGGTAAATATTTTATGAGACATTTAATTATTTACTTGGATATTTAAACATTTAACATACTGGTGTACTTAATGATAGTGGTAAATTAAATTATGTAATGATTTTAATTAATTAGTTTGAAATTTGCATGTATTTCATGGTATATTTTTTTAAATTTTGTCACCTCTTATTCTCCATAAGGATGAATGGCTGTTAATCAAATTGTTCTGCTTGGGCTGAGCTAGCGCTGTAGCTAACAGGCCATTTAAAACATGACCAGGATCCCTCTGAAGGAGGTTTTAACTCTAAAACAACAGAAAAAACGGATTTTCTACAAGACAAAAAAATGTTTTATTTGCTGTTTTGCGGCTGGAATTTAAAAGTTGTCGATATCAAGTGATGAATTTAAACTATGTATAAATAAATCCAACGTTTGTTGAGATAAAAATGGAAATAATGGTCAAATAATTGCGGCAGGTCTGAGTTCTGCGCCCTGAGGGACTCCATAACTAACTGCAGCTGAAGGAAGTGGGAAAGCACTGCAGAGATGAACTGTTTATTTCTATTTCATTTGTCATTACAAGTTAATTATCAGCAGTAAAAGCCTGGTTGGTATAAAGTCCTGGGTTTAAGGTACCATTCTGTCTCTGAGTTCAGGTTTCTGATGGGTCCAGAACCGGGTCCATCTCGTGGCTCTGAGTCGGGTCCAGAGCCGGGTTTTCGTCCATCTCTTGGTTCCGGGTGGGATCCAGGTCCAGGTCCGCTGGGTGACTCTTCATGTGTGTTTTCAGACAGTGGCTCTGGGTGAAGGCCCTGTCGCAGACGCTGCACTTGTAGGGTTTGTCTCCGTTGTGGGTCCTCATGTGGACCTTCAGGTGTTCCCGGCGGGAGCACTCCTTCCCACACTCGGCGCACACGAACCTCTTGATGCCCAGGTGGATCTTGACGTGGCTGTCCAGGTTGGCCTTCTGCTTGAAGCGCCGGCCGCACTCCGAGCATTCGTACGGCGCCTCGTCGGAGTGGATCCTCATGTGCTTCTTCAGGTCGCACTTGAACCAGAAGCCCTTGGTGCAGACGGCGCAGACGAACGGCCGGACGCTGCTGTGGGTCTTCAGGTGAGCCATCAGCGTTCCCTTCCACAGGAACGTCCGGCAGCAGACGTGGCACAGGAACGTCCGGTCCCTCTCCGTGTGCGTCTTGGCGTGGACCTTCAGCGAGCCCTCCAGCTTGAAGCGCTTCCGCAGACGTCGCAGGCGTACTGCTTGTCGTCGGAGTGGGTCAGGCGGTGCTGGGTCATGGCGCGGCGAAGGCGGAACGACCTGTTGCAGACGTCGCAGACGTGCTTCTCCTTGACGTGTGCAGCTTTTTGTGGGACAGGAGGTGCGACTCCAAGCCGAAGGTCTTGAGGCAGACGTCACACTTGTGAGGCTTGTCCTCCACATGCAGCCACTGGTGGTAGTTCAGGGAGGCCGTGTTGGTGAAGGTTTTGCTGCAGACGCCGCATTTGAAGCGACTCTCTCCGGTGTGCTTGGCCTCGTGGAGGTTCAGGCTCTGGACCGAGACGAACGTCTTCCCGCAGTGCTGGCAGCTGTGGACCTGCTGGTGGTTTCGTAGATGCTCCTTCAGCTGGTCTGGAGACTCAAACTTCTCTCCGCAGGCGCCGCAGACGCCCTGCGGGTCGCCTGCGTGGTTCCAGACGTGGCTGATCAAACTGCCCAGCTGCCGGTACCAGGCGCCACACACCTTACAGGACCTCTTGGTCTCCAAGGTCAGCTGCGGCGCCCTTTTCTCCTTCCGTTTCCTCGACCTCTTGGCGGTCAGCGGTTTGGGGTCAGGGCTCCAGGTGTCATCTGCAGCATCAAGGCCTGGGTCGGCTTCCTCGCTGCTGTCCACATGGCTGCAGAGGCAACAAAAACACATTTGAAATGCAGAGCTACACACATCTCTGCTCCAACAGATGAATGGATGAGTCTTCAGGACGCCATCAGGCCTGGGTGAGATGTCTGCAGCATCAGGCCTGGGTCAGACGCCTGCAGCATCAGGCCTGGGTGAGACGTCTGCAGCATCAGGCCTGGGTCAGACGTCTGCAGCATCAGGCCTGGGTGAGACGTCTGCAGCATCAGGCCTGGGTGAGACGTCTGCAGCATCAGGCCTGGTTGAGACGTCTGCAGCATCAGGCCTGGGTGAGACGTCTGCAGCATCAGGCCTGGGTGAGACGTCTGCAGCATCAGGCCTGGGTGAGACGTCTGCAGCATCAGGCCTGGGTAGACGTCTGCAGCATCAGGCCTGGGTGAGACGTCTGCAGCATCAGGCCTGGGTGAGACGTCTGCAGCATCAGGCCTGGGTGAGACGTCTGCAGCATCAGGCCTGGGTGAGACGTCTGCAGCATCAGGCCTGGGTGAGACGTCTGCAGCATCAGGCCTGGGTGAGACGTCTGCAGCATCAGGCCTGGGTGAGACGTCTGCAGCATCAGGCCTGGGTGAGACGTCTGCAGCATCAGGCCTGGGTGAGACGTCTGCAGCATCAGGCCTGGGTGAGACGTCTGCAGCATCAGGCCTGGGTGAGACGTCTGCAGCATCAGGCCTGGGTGTGACGTCTGCAGCATCAGGCCTGGGTGAGACGTCTGCAGCAGAGCTGAACTCAGTTCATGGCAGCTGAAGCCAGAAGCCACCCGAAAGCTGCAGGCCAGGATTTCAGTTATGCTGCCTGTTAGTGAATAATTACTATTGAAATGATGTTTTGGTATTAATGAGAGTAAAACCTGGAATATTTGATGGAAAGTGTCGGTTCTGGTGTCAGTTCTGGTGTCAGTTCTGGGAGCGGACACAGTTTGCTGCCACGGCTTTGGCTTCTGGTGCAGAATTATAACTCGTCTCACATTAATGATGTAAAAGTCAGAAGAAAGCAACAGTTTCCAGATGTGGAACATTTATATCCACACATGTGGATCTATAGATGCAGTCGATCTTCAGGATGCCGAAGGGCAAAAGAATCTCAGCATCAAGAGGAAGTTGGGTTTTAGTTTCAGCAGGAAGTTGTTCAGTTTTCCACTTTCGAAGCCTGTAGTGATGAAACTACTGCAGCTTCATAAAGTTCTCATTGTTACGATTCCCCTGGACATTTAACTTCCAACCAACTGCAGCTGGATGTGTTTAAGATCTTAATGCTGACAGAAATATGATTTGTTTGTCTGACAGAAGCTTTCAGGGAATCGTTCAGATAAAAAAAATCTGCTTTAGTTCACAGTGTAGTTTTGTTCCGACTAGACGAATCAAAGCACTGAAGAGCAAACTGAGGATGTTTCCTCTGAATGAACCTGGAATCGGTTTTTACCGGGAATGAAGGTCGATTTGATCCGTCTTCATCGCCGCGGCTGAACATGGCTCCTCGCTTTCCTGAAAGAAAAGGTTCACAAACTGAATGAAGCTTCACGTTTCCCTGAATCAAACTGAACTTTTATTATTTTAAATTAAGCACTTTAGTTTCCTCCCTCACGTATCGGCACAGATTTACTTATCAGAGTAAAATCTGTTTAAAAAGGATAAAAATCAGCCAATTTTTATCCTGTTGATTGTAAATTTAGTCTTCAGTTTGTTTTGTAAGAGAAACTAAATCATGGAGCTGAAGGAGTGAAAACTGTGACGGAGTATTAAGGCCAGAATGAGAAAACAGTTATGAGAATAAAATTGTGATATTGCCTGAATAAAGTCCCAAAGTTACAATATTGAAGTTATAAGTAATGAGAATAAAGTCGTATTAAAGGGAGGAGCCAGTGGGCGCTGTCTGGACCGGGTCGGTTCTGGTCGGACCTTCAGCCGGATGTAGAGCGTCGGGTTCCCGCCTGAGCGGTGGCCGCAGCAGATCTGCTCCGGCGTCAGGCTCTGCGCCGCCAGCGGCTGCAGCCGCCGGTTCTTGGCGGCGATGAAGACGTCGAAGGGCCGCCCTCCCGCCAGCAGGGGGCAGCGTGAGCGCAGCAGGTCCAGGAAGCCCGGCTCCGACAGCCCGCGGGGGCACTGCAGGTCCAGAACCGCGCTGCGCTGAAACACTGACAGCAGCACAGCGTTAGTGAGCAGAGCTCCCAGCATGCACTGGGAGACAGCGGCAGAGCTCCCAGCATGCACTGGGAGACAGCGGCAGAGCTCCCAGCATGCACTGGGAGAGCGGGTTCTGGGCTCTCACCAGCCTTGGACAGGACTCTGGTCCGGGAATCCTCCAGGATCCGGACCCGGAGCGTCAGATGGTCAGCTGGTCTGCTGAGCCGAGGTCTGCCAGGCCGCCGGCCTCCAGGATGACCTCTGACCTGAGCCGACCTGCAGCGGGACGACAGCAGGTGAGCTCTGATTGGCTGGGGGTTCAGAGGTCAAAGCTAGAGGCGGGTTAAACTTTTGGACACTTTAATATGTGCAGATAATCTGTGGAAATATTTATTTCCTTCCACAAACAGCAGAAATAAAAACCTCCGTCAGAAACAACCAATCAGACGGAGGAAACGTGATGACATCATCTGTCAAGACGAGTCTTTTCTGAGTCAAATACTGAGTCATTACAGACTCAGTATTTGTTGTTTTGTTGGACCAGGCCGGTTCTGGTTCTGTACCTTGATGGGATCTCGTAGTCCGGGTCCGTCACGTCTTCTTGCTTCAGCCTGGAGGCGTCTACTGGCTCTTCATCACCAGCACCGTCTTCATCGCTCAGCGGCAGACGCTCCACTCCGCCAGCGCCTGAACCCAGCAGTTCGTCTGATTGGCTGGAGGTTCTGGTTCTGTGGGAACCAGTCTCCCGGTGAGTCCGACCTGTGAGCTGCTGCTCCTCTTCCTCCACGACGACCTCCACTTCCTGTGTCGCCGCGTCTGGCCGCAGCGGGAGACACAAAACTCAATCAGAGGAAAACTGTTTACTCAAGTCAAAGTGAAAAGGATTTGATGAAAAGTCGACTGAAGATGACATCATCAGATGGAGCAAAATATAAAATGATTGGACATTTTTATTTATGTCAGTAATTGCTTAATAAAAAATCTTCCACTGGAAAATTATTTCAAAATGTTTTTCCCATATTATCAGTTAACTGCAACATTTTCTTAATATTACAGAATAATTCATTTAGAAGTTCTTCCTTCTTGCTGAAAAGTAAAATTTAAGTAACTTTGTCATATTTAAAGATATTTGCAGTAAAAATGAGATAAAATACTTGGTAAGATTTGGTGTTTCTGCAGCAGGTCAAATAAACAGATTTTACTTCAGAAGGATAAAGTAAAATACTCCTACAAGTAACTGAGTAAAAGTAACTAGTTACTATCTGACTGTGGGAGCGGCTCAGTGATAATCAGAACCAGTAAACCCAGCAGCTGTGACTGGTTTCCCTCCAGTCCACTGACCTGGCTGCTGGCCGCGGTTCTCCCGCCTGACGCCCGGCGCCGCCGCCTCCTCGCTCCCGGTTCCGGTCCACTCCACCGCCGCCAGCACGTCTCTGGTCGCCCGCTGCAGCAGCTCCGCGATCGTCTCTCTCAGATCGTAGAGTTTAGACAAGTTGAGTCGCTTCCTGGAATAAAAATGTTTTCAGGAAATGAGTTTATCTGAACACAGAAGAACTTTAGTCACTAAGATGAGCTCAATAACTGATGTGAACTTTATTTACAGACATCAGAATTAATTTTATTTCTGTTCTGGTTGTTTGTGGTTTATATTTCAAATATCTTCCAGCTCCAGCGTGTTCAGGATTCCTCTAGTTTATTGTCTTGTAGAAGCTGAACCTGCATTATTATTATCAATAGATAAATGATATATGGTCGACAATAATAATATTTATGGCAGTAATTCCTGGGAAACTAAATGTAAATGCCAACATGCAGGACGTTCTAGTAGAAAACAAAAAGCTTCATAGCAGAGATTTATTGAAATGTCCTGGAAATATAAGCAGCTGAACACAGAGGCACTGGGCCAGGAGTACTTTCTATGCTGAAACGTCAGGATTATGTTAGTTGTAGTTAAAATAAAGATGTAGCACAAAAACACCAAACCCAGCAGAATCTTTTCTGAGACGGTTCTGGTTGATGATAAAGTATTATGGTCAGCCCATTAGAACCAGTTAAAACCAGTTACCTTGGTGGTTTCCCATGATGCCTGTCCTTCAGGTCTTCTTGGTTTGGCCTGAAGGTCGTCGTTGGCTCCGCCCCTTCATCATGTCGACTGTCACCTGAACACAACAGCAGCAGAGTTCTGATCTCGGACATGACCCAGTAACTGCAGCCTGGTTCTGGTTCTGGTTCCAGCTGAGTCCTACCGCTGGGCTGCTGCTCCTCTTCCTCACCGCCTTCCTCCTCCTGGCTCTGCAGATCTGGGATCGGCTCGTTGGCTTTCCAGACAGAACCAAACAAAAACTGATCAACATCTGATGCAATGACACTAAAAACGGATAAAATAATTTATGGAAGCAAAACGTGAAAATTAAACAGCAAACAGATCGATGCTACAGAACACCAGCTATTCTTCTCAACGAGTGTAAATCTCACAAGACTTTTTCCTCCAAAATGTTTCCAGTTTGAACTGAAAGCAGAAATTCAGTCAGGGTTTCAACTAACTCAGAACACGACATGTTAATGTCAAAGCTATTCAGAACGTTAAACTGAGGCTGAAAGGAATAAGTAATCGGTTTTATTGATTAATCAAATTTGCTGTTTATATAATTGAAATGGTTTATTTTAATAGATTTATTGCTTATTGTTCAGTTATAGTCACACCCACTATAAAGATATAAAACAGAAACCTTTCCCCCCGGGCTCAGGGCCCCATGTTTCCAAATCTTAAGGACGCACCTGGTTGGGTATAAATCAGTGCCGTTAAACTAAAACTCATGCGATTTCGCCTCCTGCCTCCTGGCCGCCACTGACCTGCTCTGCGCAGCCGGACCTGCGGCTGCAGCAGCTCCAGCTGCAGCAGCTCCAGCTGCCTCTGCTGCCGGTCGATCTCCCGCCGGAAGCCCGACGCCTCCCGCTCGTATCCGGCCACGGCCCGATCCACCGCGGCCAGCACCGCCCCGGTCACCGCGCCCAGCCGCTCCGACACGATGCCTCTCAGCTCGCCTCTGTTCATGTTTACTCCCTCAGATCGGTCTCCGCGGAAACAGCCTCTGCTGTGTGGGTCGACTCGTTCACTTCCGGGTTCACGGATTCCCTCTCCGCTTCAGCTCGGGTAACTTCCGGCGCGGTGTCCGCGCCAGTGTGTTCCGCTGTAGCTAACTCAGCGGCTTCATGGATCACACCGCGTCCAAAAGCCGCCTGACGGCCGTCATCTCCTCCAGGCTGAGCGCCGCCGCCTCGGAGATCCTGGCAGACGTGGAGATGACCTGTGACCTGTACGAAGCGGAGGTTTCGGGCTTGAGGCAGGAGATAGAGCGGCTGAAGAGCCTCCTGGAGCTGCGCCAGCCCCGGGTGAAGGAGGAGCCCGCAGGTCGGTCACAGCCTGGAGCTGGAACTGTCTTCTTGTTTTCTCAGAAAAGGTTCTGCTGGTTTTGGTGTTTTTGTGCTACATCTTTATTTTAACTACAACTAACATAATCCTGACGTTCTCTATGTTTAGTTTCAGCATAGAAAGTACTCCTGGCCCAGTGCCTCTGTGTTCAGCTGCTTATATTTCCAGGACATTTCAATAAATCTCTGCTATGAAGCTTTTTAAGAATTAAAAAGAGGAATAACTTAATTTAGCTCGTTAATTCATTCCTCTGATCCCGAATTCTTGTGCCTTTATATGCGCAGGGAGAAAGAGCAATCATACGACGTCAGACTTCAGATATCCAGAGTTTTATCCAGAGAAAATCAATGCAAGAAGAATGTTACAATAAGCATCTCACCTAGATCATCAATTAACTGAGTAAAAAGGGAAACAGAAACAAACAAAAAATGCATTTTTTGGAAATCTCTCACTCAGCACAAAGAGATTCGAACTTCTGCTGTAAAACAAACCATTTTATAAGAATGTGTTTTCCCTTCATTTAAATATATGCATTAGAAGGTGTGTCCTCTCCTTGCAGGGCTATTCCAATGTTAATTTTATTACCTCCTGCTAAAGAGCCCCTAAAGGCAGATGTATGGATTGTCAAACTGGGTCTTTGCCGTACCAGGCGTCTCCTGCAGACACTCCAGAATTGATGACCTCCACTGGCCTGCTTGGTTTCTGCCTCAGTGCTTCAAGCAGATAGTGTTTTGTGTACTGAAACAAAATCTAATGCTACAAATAGTAACTATGCGTTTGAATTTAAACTGCAGGATTTTCTATTTTGGAAAAACTCTTTCAAAATACCTGAAATAATTTTAAGAGTAAAAACTAATGGTTTAATAATCCTATTGTATTTTAGTAATATAAATTGCATGCAAGTAATATGGTTTAAAACTAACTAATTCAAAACATGCTGTTTAATGCTTAAGGAAATATCTTCATAAATTTGATTATACTTTGGAGAAGACTTTTCTTATACATTTAATGTTTCACTGAACTTTTGAACCAACACCAAAGAATTTATTGATCCTGATAACTACACTCCCTGTCTGAAAACCCTCCTAACGGGAGTACCAGACTGCCTTCTCCATAGAAATTTATGTAAGTTCAGAGAGTCACCAGTTGTCTTAGTTTGGATTTGTATTTAAGTTTACCAGCCGTAAAGTCTACTCCTAAAAATTAATGCTACATCTAATATTTTGTATGTCTAAAGATTACCTGTCTCTATAATTATGCTAACTAAACTTATATTATCAACAAGCTTTTTGTTTTCTACTAGAACTAAATGTAAATGTTAACATTTACATTTAGGAATTACTGCCATAAATGATATTATTATTGTTTGTCGACCATTTTTCATTTATCTATTGATAATAATCACCGTGAACCAGTTAACGTTAACACACATATATGTACATAAATGTATGCACATATGTTCTGATTACAATGGATTATCTTCTATTTATTGATGAAACTTTATGTATAGAGCTGGTTCTGTGTTCAGTAGTAATGATGATAATATTGATTATTTGTGATTGATCCAGACGAGCAGATGCTGTTCTCTCTGTGTGGCGCCGATGGAGGAGACAGATGGCGGGACGACGCGGGACAGGCGTGTGAAATGAGTATGACATCATCAACGACAGATTATAAACAATCTTATAAACTGCATTGATATGTAAACAATTTAAAATATAATTTAATACACAAATATTGTAATTAATTGAAGTGTTTTGCTTTAACTTTACTATTTAATGAGAAATTTTTGCCTTTAGTTCAGTTGAATGAAATTAGAGCACAAACATTTTAAAAAGCAAACTTGTAATAAATTTGCTTTTTAAAACTTATTACACGTTTAGGGTAATAATACAACATAAATAGCTTTTTATTTTTAAAGAGCCAAAAATAAAGATGAAGATTTAACTTGAATAAAACTTTTGGCTCTAGGCTGCTGGTTTTTGCAAAACAACATGTCAAAAATATTTAATATTTTCCACCATAATGACAAAAAATGGTTGCAAAAATACACAACTTGTTATTTTTATTAAATTCTGTTCTGGAAAGGTATGCAATTATTCAAGGAATAAATATCTGTATTATTTATAAAGTTATTTAAGTTACAATTTAGTTATTTAAGCTGCAGTTTGTAGAAATGATTCGTTAACAATATGTATTTTCATTTAATGAAGTCTGAAAACAAGTTTTGTTTGTATTTTTTCTAATAAAAACATTTTTATTTTAATAATTTAAAGACAACCTGGAAAATATTTTAAACATCTTTTTTAACTAATTTTAATTTCATTTGTATTTAATTTATTCATATTTTGTTTTTGTGGTTAAAACTTTTCTTTTTAGTTTAATCCTTTCAAGGAAACCTGAAAAACATTTAAAAAAAATTTTTAAACTCATGTTTATTTTATTTATTTCTATTTTTTGTTTTTTTCCCTTACGTTCCTTGTTTAAATTTTACTTTTATTTGTTTTTTGATTTATTTTTAATTTTCTTAATTTAGTAACTTTTTTCTTTATTAACATACTTATTTTGTAATGATAATTATTTAATGATCAACAAGAACTATAAAAACAGAACCCTGTGGAACACCACGTTCTATTAAATTATTGCTATTGCTCATCATATTATTTATTTCTGTAAATATATTATTATAATTTTTCCATCCATTCCAATAATTTTTCTGTTGTTGCTGATTTGTGTCCAGAGTTTGAGAATCCTGAGACCCTGAAGATCGTCTCCTGCACCGGGGACCCAACGGACGGCCGACATCATGACGACGCCTCCAGGTGAGAAGTTCAGTCTTCCTCTGATGTCTTCCTCAGGTTAACTTCGCAGGTCATTTGGGTCTAAACAGACGGATCTCCAGCAACGAGCTGCTCAGAACCATCAGATGGTGTCAGTCGGCTCCAGTCCACATGAGTCGGACTGTCCTGGTTCGGATTAACTGTGCGTCCTTTGCTCAGGTTGACTGATGGAGTCAATATGGCTGCCTCCCACATCAGACACCTGGAAAACTACGTGGATCTTAAGATCTGCATCCTGACCGACTGGACCATCCAGGAGGTCTCAGACCAAGGTAGGGATGCTCTTCTTCCTCAGGTTCTGTTTCTGGGCTGATTGCTCTTGTCTGATCGGAACATGGCCGCCGTCTCCCCACTCCAGTGGATGATCAGTACCCGGTTCACGAGCTGCAGTGTCGCTCAGGCCAGCAGGAAGCCGACTTCTTGAAGCTGCTGAGGTCCAGCTTCCCTCTGCTGGCCCCCAGCACTCCCTTTGAGTCCTTCATCACCGACCCGACCAACAGGCTGCAGCCTCTGGAGGTGCAGTCCTTCACACCGGAGCAGATCTGCAGCGCAGCGGGGAACTCCGCCCTCTACATCCGCCTGAAGGTACTGCACCCGACCATGAAGCAGAAAACTCAACTTTCATTGACAAACAGGTTGATCAGTGATGGTGAAAATTTGTTTTATAATGTTGGAATATCCCCCTAGCATTAGCTTCCACTAAGTACTATGTCAGTTAGCCCTTTAGCGTTAGCTTCCACTAAGTACTATGTCGGTTAGCCCTTTAGCGTTAGCTTCCACTAAGTACTATGTCGGTTAGCCCTTTAGCGTTAGCTTCCACTAAGTACTATGTCGGTTAGACCTTTAGCGTTAGCTTCCACTAAGTACTATGTCGGTTAGCCCTTTAGCGTTAGCTTCCACTAAGTACTATGTCGGTTAGACCTTTAGCGTTAGCTTCCACTAAGTACTATGTCGGTTAGCCCTTTAGCGTTAGCTTCCACTAAGTACTATGTCGGTTAGACCTTTAGCGTTAGCTTCCATGGACTACTTTGTTGAGACATAGCTTTAGTGAAAATACAGATATTAATTAAAGGTTAAAAAGTTTTTTCTATCTTAGTGTCCAGTAGAGCAGGAAGCAGGAAGTCATCAGCAGCTTATGCAAACCAGTGATGATTCCTTTGCCTATGAAGTTGCTCCGCCCATGGAGCATCAGGCTGCACCCGACGCCACGTGAGAAAACACAAACACTGTAAACGTTGAGTCATTTAAATCTTCATTCCATCTTAATCTTTTTGTCTTTTCTGTTTCTCCGCAGCAGAAACGAGACTCGCCAGAGAAAGCCGGTTGAAAACCAGCGTGGTCATAATGAAGACATTGTTCTCAAGACCCGGGTTATAGAGGACTCCCGAATTGTGGCTCTGTCAAAGACTGGTAAACTTTTACTGAGTAATTCTCATAATTACTACATTGCTACAGCGTTTTAGCCTTAGCTTCCAATAATTACTATGTTGGTACTGCACATTAGCTTCAGCAGAAATAATGCTTCCGATTAGTGCTTTTGGGCTAGCGCTCGCCTCTGGTCATCAGACGCTACAGACTAAACCCAGAGTAGATCTTTGAGGGTTTCTATTTTAGAAACAACTTGAGTGAGGTTCCTGATTGCTCCGTTTCAGTGCTGAAGAAGTACAAGTCTAAAAGGCTCCGGTGTCCCCGTGGGATGCAGGAGGCCGACTTCCTGAAGCTGCTGAGGTCCGCCTTCCCCCAGCTGGCCGCTGGAGCGCCGTTTGAGTGTTTAATCACCAACATCACCAAGAAACTGCTGCCTCTGAATGTGGAGTCCTTGACGCCAGAACAGATCAGCAGCGCTGCAGGGAACT